GATACAACATTATTAGTTGAGGATAAAACTTTATAATCATATATTTAATTAAATTATAGATTTGAAGGCCAAGCTGAACATCTTCATGATTGTTACAAAATGGTATTAGCTAAAGAAGATTAATAAATAGAGATTGGTATCATAGTACCATTAAGTTATCCTCAATAGTATTAATTTTATATATAATAAGGTCAGTACGTTATTAGATTTTATCAACTTAAAATATAAATATTTCATAATATGAATTTTTCATAATATGTAAAAATCTAGGAAATTGTTTAATCGAAGGGCTTTAATTATCATATTAAATATTAAGAATTATTGAATAATTATCTGAAAGAAGATAAAAAATGTAATATTTCTTAAAACATTAATGAGTAGTGTATAAATTTAATTTATCCATAAAATTATTCATCTTTTTTATCTTAATTTTTAATCTTTTCTTTAATCTACTTCCATTTTTTCTTTAGTTTCTTAAGCTCTCTGTATATCCTTCATTTTCATTAGAAGTAAATCTAATCTATATAAACAATCTGATGGTAAAGGTCTAGACTCTAATTCTAACACATAGGGTCTATCATTAAGTAGATTAATAATAGTAAATACCTATGTATATTAATATCCCAATATCTTTAGCCATTTATGTCTAAATGAGATGTCCATCGGCCACTAATAGAATCATAAGTCTCTAAGATTTCTTCTTTGCTGAGTTTTAATTTTAAATTCAATCCTGATCCAGTTTTGTGTGCCATTTTACAACGTTAAATACACATAGGTGATACTTTGTAAATTTTGCCTAAGAAATGATCTATTGGAGTGGTTTATCTAGAAAAGAAACTTTTATTTTCATCTTTTGGATTGAATTATATAACAGCACACAATTATAGATCAGGTTAAAAACAGAAACTTCTTTTATGACAATTCACATTTCTTTATCCAGTTATAATATTATAAACTGTAAATGGTTGATTAATGTAATAAAATTTTAAATTAGTATTTTGAAAATGTACTATAGAATGGCCATGTTATTCTCCAGAAAGACTATTATAACCCATATTAACTATAGGACTAAAAGATCCATATAATTTATAATCTCTTCCAAACATTATATAATTAGAAATTGGAGGATGATGAGATGTCTATTCCAAATAAATAGGACATCCAAGTATTCTACCTTAAAATGTTTCTCCTAAAATTGGATTGAATGGTTTTTCTTACTAAATTCCCATCATAAAACTAGCCATATGAAAAGCAATAGTCTATTTCAATTATTATAAAGGATCATTAGATTTAGCAGCAAGTTCTAAAAATATAGGAGCATGTCCTTAAGCTCTAGCCATTCTCTCTAAAAATGATCTACTTTCAAAAATTTAGATAGGCAAAGAGACAGACATTACAGACTTTCCTTATATAAGATTGGATCCCATCCTTTTTATCATATTTAAGAGAACAGATCTTTAATCCTTCAATAATCTTTCATTATGATATGTTAAACCTCCTTTATTGTTATCAACTCTATAGTATTTAGTATATAAGAAATGACCTTCTTCATCATTAGTTTGTAGTTGTTTGTCTAAACCAGAAACAATAGTTTAATCTGAATATTATGAGATTGCATCTAAAATATATTGTCCATTTCCAACCTTTTCAATTAACTTTTAGAATTCTTCCTTTGATTAAATTTAATGTTATTCAGATGTTATTCTTTGTATATCAGATTCTGTTAATTTTATAGAGATTTAAATGGTTTCAAATAGTTCTACATTCTTTACTTCCACATTTTCTGTTATTTATTATATTTCTTATTAAATTTACATCAAATTTCTGTCTGAAGATGTTATATTTAATAATAGGATTTTTAATAACTTTTCTCCTGCATCTAAATCTTTACAATCCACATATATTTCTTCTATTAGTAAACTTTTAAACTCCTGTTTGCTAAATGATATCATTTTTTATACTTTGAAGGTTATACAACAAGAGCAGATCTAATTATCTTATATTTGCCTAATTAATTTGCTAGATTTCTATCAATTTAATCATGATACATTTCTTATCCTGTATATTTACGAAATACGCAATAGATACCATCTTTCTCAAATCCTTTTTATGTAAATACTATTCTTATTTTATTGTTTTCCTCTTACTCATTCTAATTTAGTGATTAAGATGAATGAAATTTAAAATTATTCTATTCCTCTTATAGTTCTTCCTCTTATATACTATGCTATCTAGGTATTACATAATCTTCTTTAAACTCAAATTCTAAATATACCAAACTACATCCTTTCTTAGTTGGAAATACTTAAAATTGCTTAATTACATCAGGCAACCAATTTTATGTGGATGGCATTACATGTTCCTTAAATAAATAAATAAACCATTATTTACATCATAGATTCTTCGAGGTTCAATCTTTGAATAATAAACTAATTTCATATGCAAATTATCATTTGGATCCTGATACAATTTTGCATTTTCTTAATCTAAAATTTGTTTGAAATTTTGAATGTCACTAAAACCATCTAAATTCTATAATGTGTTTTATAGTAGAATCTCCATATCTTTCTATTTGTTTATTCTTTTTCTTTACTTAAATGAACTATGGTAAATGAGGAATCATATTTTCAATCTTATCACGAATCATTAAGCTTTGTTTTGGTCGAAATACCAATGGTTATTTTTCAATATATGGCTCAATCTCTGGATGAGATTTATCGAATTCCTCTAAAAATCTTAAGTGTTCTTATTTTTTCTACCATTCCCCAGTGAAACAATCGATCCATTGCTAAAATTCTTTTTCACTATTCCATCCCAATTTAACTTCATTCGAAGTTGTTGATAGTTTTATTGACCATTTCTCTTAATACTTTCCTAACTTCTTTAAGTTATATTTTGAAATATCTATTTATTTTTGTGTTTGATTCTTTGCATCTTATATTTATAATACCTAAATATTCCATCAATCACTACCTTTGTATTCAAATTAAAAACTAAAAGTTTTTCCTTCCACTTTTTTAAGAAACCTGATTGCTTATATCCACTTCCACTATAAAATTCTAAATTTTTCAGATACATTTTTAATTAATATTAATATCTGTAATATAATTCAAAATATTCCTACTGATATTATTATCACTTCTACTATCTATTCTAGCTAATTAACCTAGATTTCTATAGCTTAATTTAAATCTCTAATTTTATATTAAATTATTTTAAGAATCTTAACAATTAAAGGTTTAAATAAATCTAACTAAATAGATAGATAATACAACATTTAATATATAAAAATGCTTATTTATAGAGTCCATTAAAATCTACTGATTATTACTACATAATTTAACCTTAAAAACAACATTAATGAATCATTTTATTAATATTTTTTACTTTTATATTTTTTTTCTTGATTCAAAACTAAGTTCCCATTTTATAAATAACTAAATAATTTTAGTTGTATCATATTTTTAAAGATTAAATATAAGGATCCTAGATTTCATATGATTGCTTTTTGGTTAATTTTCTATTAACCTAAATTTATCGATAATATCTGTAACGGTAAAATAACAATAACATAATATTTGATCAAATCTCTGAATAAAATTTTTGCAAGAGAATTAAATAATTCATATTTCTTAAATAACCAAACGGTTCATATGATTAAAAAATTACTTATGTTCTAATTTTTTAATCATCAAACTAGTTAGATAATAAGAGTATTGAAATTATTGATAATTTATTTCATATAGATATTTTCAAGAGCATACGAAAATATAATGGAGATTATGAAATTTAAAGAATATAAATGAAGTGAGAATATATAATGAAGAAATATTATTTAAAAAATTTGTTTAAAGGTGATACTAATAATTTCTTAAATTATAATATTATTTTAACAGGTTTAAGAATATCTATATTGATCTCTAAAACTAAACTACTCATGTTACATACTCTAAGTTGGATAATAGAAAATAACAGAATTTTTAGAATTATTAATTATATAATGTAAAATGTCTAAAATAATCCTAATAATTATTTTTAATAAAATTTAGAATAATACTTCCCTTTAGAGTTTGAGATAACTTAAACCTACTGATAGAAATATGATGTTCTCTAAACTACTACTCATACAAATAAATCTAGCAAATATTTTAATTATGGTTATTTTTTTTTCCTTTCTAAATTGCTAAATACTTTGTTTTGCTTGCTAAAACTGCAAAAAGATCTTAGTCTTTGAACTTATGCTTAAATATAAGAAAACATTGAAATGATAAATAGTTTGAAGTTATATATGCTTAAGATCAACTAGAGGGATAATAAAAATAAATGATAAATTTTAACTCAAGATGAATAATTACAATAAAATGCCCTAAATTTTGAATATTAATTAAGAAAGCACACATCATTCGATAGAAATAACAAAAAATATTTTATTTAATTAATAAATCAATATTTACATAAGTTTTAATGGTTTCAACTTGTTCTCTTATTGCATTTATAAGAAATGAAATAAAACTTTTTTGGACTGGCAACTTTTATAATGAAATCTTATTGGATCTATTTAAAATGAATAGGATAAAAAATCAGTCAAATTAATAAGCCTTTTTAATATTGGTGTTTCTTCAGTTTTCAAAAAAAAATAGCAAAATAGAATAATATCAATTTTTGTGAACCATTTGAACTTGTAAAGGCAGATAAAGAAGGCGACTAGAAATTAGACTCTAAATTATAGATGGATTATAACCTGATGAAAATGTAATTAATAAGAAATAACCAAAATACAATTGATACTTAGAAATTATAAAATATATAAACTGTAGTAAGAGAAGTAAACTCTAATAATAATTAAGCCTAAATAGTGAGAATTTCAAATTATATTTGAGAATTAAGAGAAAGAGCATATTTAATACAATCTAATACAGAACAGATAATATGAAGATAAGTAGAAAAATTTTGTTTATTAAAATCCTGAGCCTATAATATTTAGTAAATATTAGTCATAAATGTCTTTTGGAAAAGGTAAAATAACTTTTATTTAGAACAAAAAACTAGAAGAAGTAGTTTTAGAAACTCTGAAAATTTAATCAAAAAACAATGAAGAAGCCAAAAAATTATATATGAATGACATCTAATTAGAACTTACATCATAATAAAAGGTTTCTTCAATTAATCAAAATAATTATAGTAAACTATAAAATAAGGTTGATTAAGTTCAAGAAAAATAAAATCTATAATAAAATAATAAAGTTTATAGTTCACCTGCTCTATAAAAGTATTAAGTTAACCCCAAAAAAGCCTAAGAATCAAATGTCTACCGTCTTAAATAAAAGTAATATCGAAGGCATTAGAATGAGAATTAAAAAAAAAAACTTAGAGTTCTTTAAAAATCAAGAATAAGCAGGTATTTTAAAAGCACCTATAAAATAATGAGCATATTTTTGTTTTATTAAAATAAACAGACTTTTTATTCTAAATATCAGAATTTAAAGATGATGTACAAGACTACATAAAACTGTTCATATGCAGGTAACTGAATGAAAATTTAATATAGATTTGATATCTAGATAAGGTATTTAGGATAATTACAGATCAATAATAACTATTGATAAAGAAAATTCTTATGCTTTGTTGCAGAAAAAGAAATAGTATTAGAATAGAGAGAGCAGCAATTCAAATCAATAAAAAAATGAAAATCGTTCAAATAGTGGATTATTTAAATCTGCATCACTTTAATAATTCTATCGTGCTCAATCAGCAGTTGAGAAAAATTCATATCAAAATTATAAAGGAAATCAATAACAAATCAATTAGATGAAAAATGTTTCATATCTTTCTTTGCTATAATAAAGTGGCTATTAATTAAAACATAATTATACAAAATCAACTAAAGAGTTAAATAACAAATGGATTGATTTTTTATCAAATGAGAATTAAAGACAAAAATCATTTGAAAATTAAGCTTACAAGAGATTGAATGAGAAATTGGAATATTTAGAAAAAAAGTTTAACTAGTTAAAGGATTCATTTGCTAATGTAAGTGAAAGTTAATAAGATAAAAAAACAGATAGAATAAAATAAAAATAGTATTCTATGGTAACTAAATACTTTCCTTAGAAATTTATATAATAATAAAAGAATGTTAGTTAAGAAGAAAGTAAAGTAACAAAGGATATTAAATCTATCTTCAATATTTATTCATAAATGAAAGATATAAAAAGTTATACTTCAAATTCTTAATTATTGAAATAATCCTAAGATAAAAACACTGGATTATTATAAGATTTTGTAACTTAAATTAAAAAAAATTCTAATAAGAATTCTTAATTATTGAAGGGTTCATAAATTAATGAAACAAACTAAACTTTTAATAAATCAGAAAGATAATAATCTATGGATTCCAAATATTTTTACCTAAATAAGATAAGTGAAACATAACCAAATGAACCTGTAAACAATTTAGTTTATGTAGTTCTTGTATTATATTTCAACTGTAATCTAAGCTATAAAAAGTAAGAAACCTACAGAACTTGATGAACTTATTAAAGATCATTTTTCACAAACATATCAAGTGAATTTATAATTAATTTATTTAGGGATTAATTTATGCAAATAGATTAGTAATATAATTTGATCCAAATAAAGTCATTTACTTGCCAAAATCTAATCATCTAAAAACAATTGTTTTTGATTTGGATGAGACATTAATTCATTGCAACTCTAATTTATCAATACAAGGAGACATCATATTACCTATTACTTTTCCAAATAATGAAACAATTTAGGCTTCAATTAATATTAGACCTTATGCAAAATAAATCCTTAAAACACTTTCAAAAGATTTTGAAATTATTATTTTTACAGCCTCTCATTCATGTTATGCAAATATGGTTATTGATTATTTGGATCCAAAAAAATAATGGATTTCACATCGATTATTCAGGGAACATTGTATTCAAACAAGAGAAGGAGCATACATTAAAGATTTAAGGTATATAATATATATTTTTAGAATATTAGGGAATCGAAAATTATGTGATGTTTTATTAGTAGATAATGCTTCCTATTCATTTAACAAATAAATTGACAATGGAATTCCTATTATTTCTTATTATAATAATAAAGAGGATTAAGTAATTAAATTATTGATTTATAGGAATTATTACATTTATAAAATTATTTATTAAATTTTAGGAGTGTTAAAGATGTTAGAGATTTAAATTAAAAATAATTAAAATTAAAATAGTTTTTAGATTATTCTGATTTTGATGATTTATAAAATAATTTAAAGGATATTTACTTTTGAAATAAAAATTTATTTTTAATCAACATATAATTATGTAAATAAACAAATATAATCAACTAATCTCATAAATCAGCTGTTCTATAACTTGTTATAATATAAGTTAAATTTTTAATTATTATTCTTTTTTAACTATAATTAATCATATTAATGAACCAAAGTTATACCTATTTTAACATTATTAATTTTGAAAAAAAAGTTTAATCTTACTGAGATTACTTTTGTTAAAACATATCATTATTAATCGAATATAATTAATTTTATTATCTCTATTGAAGTATAATATTATTAATAAATAGAATAAGCACTAAAATGATTATCTTTTTGAGTTTATTTTAAGAATAATTTGGATATATGATTTAATGAGTCTATATTAAGATTCCTAACTGCGATATATCTTAATTAATCTAATTTAATAAAAAGAGATTCAGTTGAAAATCTCTTCAAATAATGTTTTGTATAATCTTAAGTATCTCAATTCATCAAAAATAATTTAGTTTTTACTTTATTCTAATGATGTCTACTCATTAGATTGAAAAATGGTATACAATATCTATAATAAGTTCTATTATTATTACTAATTGATGAAGTTTATATTATTTTATAAAATTAGTTAACGAACATAGAAAATTTAAAAATGATGAATATTTCAAAGTGTAGTTATTGTTAAAAAGTTCCTGATGACATCCTAATGTTAACATGTAATCATGACCTTTGTTTGGATTGTGCTGCAAAATCATTTTCAACTTAACAAGCAAAAAAGAACAAAAAAGTATAATAGTTTGAAAATATTATAAAGTTTTTTGTATGTGATATTTGTTAGTTGAAAACTGAATTAGATTCTAATAGTGTTTATGAATTAGAGAAAATTCATTTAGCATAAACATTATAAGATAGATCTAATAGAAAACCTGTTCTTGTATAAAAAAACAATATTAGTTCTGAAAAGTAAGTGAAGTCTAAATCCTAAACTCGATAAGATAATAAAGAGAATTAAAAAGAAAAGACTATAAAATTTGCAATATAGAATCCAGAAGCAAAATCATCGTTTCATTTATCATAACGACAAATGAGTAAACATTAAAGTGAAAATTCATTTATTCAACATTCAAGAGAATAATGTTTTGATCATCCTGAAGAAGATGTTTCTTATTTTTGTTTTGATTGTAATAGTAGATGTATATGTCCTGAATGTATAATTCATGGAATTCATAAAAATCATGAGGTTAAAACAATAAAGAAATCATATCCATTAATTAGAAAACAATTAGAAAATTAAATTGAATAAAATGAATAATAAATAACTTAGATAGAGAATTAAAGATAAGATTTAGAAAAAAAGTAAGTTCAATAAACCTCAATTTAAGAGCACATGAGACTTTAAATAGCATAAGAATTTTAAGTAATTTTAGATTTACAATTAGGTTTTACATTAATTATTGAATAATAAATAAAATGAATTATTAGATAAAGTTTGTAATCTTCCTTCAATAATAGATTAATAAGAGAATTATATTAATAGATTAAATGATATTCAAATAAAACTTTAAAACCTAAATGATAAAATTTATTAGATAATTGAATAAAAGAGTGAAATTGAGTTACTCAATTATTATGGATATATATAGACTTAAACTACTCCTTAAATTCCATCATCTCCTAATATTAAAATAATCTAATTATCAAATTTAATTTTCTCATAAATTAATGATGCTAAAAAAATGATTAGTGGAATGGATGTTGAATATAATTAATGATATATTTCATGATTTAATATTTTATAATTTTTGTATTGGTTAGGATTGCTTTATTTGTTATGCCAAATCTTTAGGTTTTGCAGAGTGAACTTAAGTTGCTAGTATTGTCCATTCTTTTTTTAGATTGTTCTTCCATTCATTATTTTCTATATAACTATCATCTCTATCTAAACAAAACTCTCCTAATTCACCATCTCTATCATTTTCAATTGCACAACTTGAATCAATTCTATTATTCTGATTATAAGTTTCTGATTGGTTAACTCTTGCTAATTAATTCTCTATTTCCATAAGGGATTCTTAATATCACTATTATAATAATATTACCTTAATACATAGGGACATACGAAGTAACTGTTTAGTCTAATAAATTCTTCTTTCTTTAAGTTTAACCTTTTCTAGCATGACTAACTCTAGCAGAATTAAAACCAAATTCATTATAATCCTCTTATGATTATGCCTTCTATCTATTAAAATATATTTAATACTTCCTTTTCAGATTAAACTAATATTTATAATTAAGCAAATTAATCCTTATGTTCAACAAAAAATGTTTTGTAATACATAAAACTTTTTTAAATTTTCTCCCATTTTTAATTGAGATTTAGATTAGATTTGACTAAAATATCATTATTTCCTTCTATTTATTTTATATGTCTTTTTAATGATTCATTTTCTATTTCATAATGTTTGCATAAAATCATCTCTCTTGATAAATTCTTTTTAGTTTCTTCAAGTTCCTATTCTAATTTACGAACTCTATTTTATAATTAATCTTCAGTTAATTTTATTTATTGTGTAGATCTTTTAGCATTAATTTATTAAATTTAAAAAGCTTTAGCTAAATTCAACTTTGGTACTCTAGAATTATTTTTCTTAAAATCTTCCTATTTTCCATATTATTAATAGGATTCATTTAGACCAATTCCTCCATCAAATGTTTAATTCAAATTTTAAAAATTTTTCTTAAAAACTTAAGGAGCTTTAGCAGGAAATGGAGATGGTATTGGAGAATGAATCATATCTGTATTTATAGGTGATTAAATAGAATGTGTTTTAACTGGTAAATCTACATTTGGTAATCTAGATTCTAAAAATAGTAATTCAAATAATTTATTTACATTAAATTTAAGCTAAGATTTCTAAAAATTCATGTTATGCTCTTTCATAATCTTCATCTAAATCTATTATCTCTCCTTAAATTTTCATCTATATATTAGTAATCACTTTATTTATAAGGGTCACTAATTTTAATTGAATACTCTTTAAGTAATTAACTTATAATTGTAATCTTACGATCAATTAATGTAATGTTTCCATTTCATCATGTAATAAAATAGTGGCTGAATTAGGATGAATGACATCTCTATATCTGATAACAATTCCAGTTGTATCATCTCTTTAATCTGCCTACTTTTCAAGTTAACAAATTTTTTAAGCTTATTAACTGATGGTATGATTAAGTTCAAAAATAGTAGACTCCAATTCAGCAATAAACTTCTTTTCACTCTTTTCTGCTGCATAAGTTATCTCTTCTGAGATTAGGGCTTTGCCTTATGCAAAATCCCTCTCTTTTTAAACTTTCTCTAACGATGACATCAAATGATCAATTTCTTTTTGTTGTTCTGTAATTACTAATTTAAGTGCTTTCATTGTATTTTCATTCTCACGAATAGTAGTTTGTTAATTAATTCTTGGATTGCCAACGTCTATATCTATCATTGAACGCATTGATTATTTATTCAATTTGATAACAGTTTGTAAATCCTCTATAGTATTTCTCAACTATTGATTTTCTTGATGTAAGAAATCAATCTTGGCTTTCAATTAATGTGGACTTTCACTCATAAAATAATTTATATAATCAAATATCATCTTTATCTTTATAGTATTTTATTGTGATCACTCCTTATTCCACACCAAAATAAGACCATTATCTTTCATAAATATCAGGAATCTAATTATTTTAATCATAATAAATACTTTAAATGTAAGTGTAAATTCTCCATATTTCCTTTCACTCTTTTCCAATTACTCTTAATTTTTATACGGTCTCAATTTATTCCCCTTCACTAAAGTCACTACATTCTAGTCTCTAAATATCTACATCATCATTAGTCAATCCAGGAGCATCCATCAAAATTATATATTGATGCAATAATATCTGTAGCAGGCTAAAAAGAATCTTATTATCCCGTTATTAGACCGCTCATACCAACTTAACCTTTAGGAATTTAAATTTTATCTTACAATTCATTTTCTGTTTTAATTACCTTGATTAAAGGATCATCTGTATTTTTTAGGTCAATTTTAATATTCTTTCTAAAAAAAATTAAAAAGTTTTATCTTGATTAAATTAACAAACAGTCTAAAACTGAAAAGCTTCTGTTTACAGGATAAAAACTGCCTTTAACCAATATCTAAGAAGTAAAAATACCCAAGGATTTAGATCCTTTCCTAAATTACAATAATCATTCGCAATACACACATGTCTAGTGTATGGAGTCTTAAACCAAAGAACATGCTTTTCCTAAAGTTATTTATTTATTAGATTAAGTGCAGCTACTTTAGTTTTTTATAGAGTTCCATTTGCATATATTTATGTTACTTATGTACTCCATCTAAAATTTCATTAGATTCAATATCTTTAAGATTATGTATTACAATAATTTCTCTAAATATCTTATTAGTGCTTTACTATAGATTACGACTCAATCTATCAAGATATCTTTAATCAAGACTTGTAAAATCATTAACAAAACATAAAAAGTAATCTGCCAAATCGAATACAAGATCTGATATAAATTTTTCTGTAGCTTCTATGTTTACAATTGATAATTCATTTTCTATTTTAACAGGACTATATGTTCCAGCTGTGTCCACAAATATAAGTTTTGTTCCATTATCTACATTTACATGCTTAAATGAAATGCCTTTAGTAATAACCTTCTTTCCAAATGGTAAATTACTCATAGTGAGACTATTCAATACAAAAGTCTTTTCTTTATCATAGAGTCCAGTTACTACAACAGTTGCTCCATCTAATAATTTTATGTCTGATAATTTCTTGATTTATCATCTTTGGAGACACAAATCTTTCCCTCCTGAACTATTTATAAATGTTATAAAATCTATATAAACCATTCAATCATAAATGCTGGTTTTATCTATAATTGAAGTATTTTATTTCTTGAAATCAGTTGAATTTCCTTTAAATATACCACATTACCTTTACCATTTGACTTCACTTTGTCTTTGAAATTGATTCACCTCATGTTGTAGTTCACGAATTTCTTTGAATAATTGAGATATTTATCTAATTTATTTAGAATTGTTTTGTAAAATAGCCTCCATTAATTGATTGCTGTCTTTTTCTTTAAACTTATATTCCATCAACTCTGCTTCCTACATATCTTTTATCCTTATAATATAAGTAGCTTTATTAGTTTCTCGAATGAAATTGATTAATTTCTTATTTCAATCCTTAATTGCATATATCAATGGAGCAATAAGAGAAAGAATTTTTGGATTAATATCATCATAAACTAATTATAACTCTTATTCAAAGTTATCTAAAATCTTAGTATCAAAAATAGTATCATTCATGGATTTTTATGATTATTAAAACATAATTTCAATTTCAATTTTAATAATCAATTTTAACACATCTAGAAAATATTTTATTCATTTAAAAAAAATTAAAAATTTTTCATTTGCTGCATTTCTAAATATTTTATTTAACTAAAATTGCAATTTCTTAGTTTTCTACTTATCTAATATAAAATATATCCATATCAAGATGAAGATATTGTTTATAATCTTATCAGGTATTCTAGATTCCCATAATTAACTACAGAATCTTCTTTAAAAAAAACTATATTAATTTAATTTCATATTATATTATTCATCTTTTTACTGCATCGTAAATAATTTATAGATATATTTTTAATTTCTATCTTGCAAACATATTTCCTTTATTTATATCATTTTATTTAATAATTATAACTTGGAAATTATTTAATTATCTTAAGATACATTTTAGTATAAGATAGTAAATATACTTTGAATATATTTTAATTTATTCAAATTAAACTCATCCTTAAATACAAAGGAAATTGATTTAAGTTAAAAAAGATAGTATAAATATTATAGATTTCATAATATTAACGAAAAATAGAACATAATTCATTAGAATTTTATTTGTTGAAAATGAGTCTTCCGATCTTATTAGATTGTAAAAAATAGTTGATAACATTTATAAATTATTTAGGAATTATTACTATTAATTTATTTTGAATAATGAATTAAAATAACAATAAAAAGTTAACGAATAATGTAAATTTATATAGCACAAAATTCTGATCTTAGAGTTAATAATTGTTAGAAGTATCTAAATTAAATTATTATTATAAATTAAATAATAAAAAATGCAATAATATTATGAACTAAGTTTTGGGCAAGTATTTTCAATTGAGATTGATAAGATTCGAGATAATAAAAATATGTTTGGGACAAAAACATTAATCTTAGTACAAATAAACTTTGTATCATTAATGAGCTTTAGTTTAAAATTTGAATAAAACCAAGGGTTTGAATATTTTATTAATGTAATATTTGAAATTATTGTAGTTTTAAGTATATTCACAAGACCACCAGATTTATTATTTATACCAATATGTATCTTAATGTTGATTTTATACTTGTTTTTTTATGGTTGTTTTCTGTTGATGACGTACTTGCAATATTAGAGTTAGAATAAAATAACTATGTCTAAGTATAAATTTAAGAGATTACATATATTGATGTCGTTGGGAATTGAATGTGCAGTGTTACTTGGCTGTTCAATTGTAGATAATTGATTAAATTCTAGTTATTTATCAACTTGGGGTTGTTCAATAAACAAAGTAGTGCCTGGAGTGCTTAAGTTCATAGAAATTATAGTAATTATCTAAAATATTAATGTTTTAGATCTCTCTTTTTTGATTCAAATTATAAATAAGCAGTAATTTATTAAAGAAAAGTAGAAGATTCATGGTAGTTTTAGTAAAGCTGCTCATAAATAAAAGTAGATTGGCAATTTTTAATGGCTTTCAGGTGATTTAGTTACTCTAGAAGTTAGTGAAGGTGTATAGAGTGGCTAAATAATTAAAGGAGTTCAAATCGATTAATTGATCTGTTAGGATATGCAAATTATGATGATATGATTCAAAATCTACGTATTAGAGAATTGCAATCATCTCATTAAAGTTAGAGTTCAGATAAATTATAAATATCAAGTATCATGCCACCATATTTGACAGCATCTCACATGTGATGCATAAGGTTTTGTGTTTCCAGTCAATATTAATTTATCTTTTAATTTTTAAAATCTACCTGATTTTACACAATTAGGATCTATTAGTGTTCCATTTATTAGATAAATTAATAATATCTATTTTCATGTTCTCTCTGTTGTAAGTAAGAAGAGGCTGAAGATGAAATTAAAAAATTAACACTTTCTTAACATTTATTAGAAATAAGATGATTCATGGGTTTCATAAAAAAAGTTAAACTTATATTTTATAATAAAAGCAAGGATATTGATTTAAATGAGAAATATACTAAAAATGGTAATATCAAAGCAAAAGGAAAAGAAAACACTTATTTTTCTTCTAAATTAAGTGATGCTAGTTTAAGTATTTGGAAAGATATGGGATTATACATTATGATTTCATCAATTTCTATTGGCTATTTAATATTTTCTGTTATTATTATTCAAACTTAAATCAATACATTTACTCCTTTTATTGACAACTTTGATTTAACTATTAGCACAAGTGTATATACTACTAGCTTAATTTCAAAATTATCGATTACTCCTGAAAGATATTTAAATTTATAATCTACCAGTATACCAACACAATTTTTTTTATTGAATTTCTAATAAAATTAATAGATTTCATACTTTTTACAAACAATCTCTTCTGATAGCAGCAAAATCAAATCATATATTACTGAAATGTCAAAGTTTTTAGATTAATTGAATATAGATTATAGTTATGATTCTAATTCCTCAAAAATTGTCATTACTTCTGAGAAATATTAATCAAGGTTATCCTATATATAACAATTAAGTGTATTGAGTGAAATAAATCATTTACTAAAAGATAACTTATGTTATTATTCCTAAGAGTCAACAATAGTTATAATTTGATTACTTTAATACTGGTTTAATGGGAGCATGAGACATTTTATAGAAAATGTAGTTTAATTACTAATAATTTTTAAACTAGGAATAATAAAATAATACACTTTTAATTAATCCGTATTATAATTCTTAAGATTATAAACTATTAGTTATTTATGGATAAGAAATAATTTTTAAAACATTTAATAGATTATTATAACTATTAAAAACTTTCTTGAGTGATGAGAAAGAATCAAAAAAATAATTAATATTGAATTTATTTATAGGAATAGGAATACCCATCATGATAATACTAATCCTTTTGTCTGCTTTGTAAATGATTCTATTGAAATAAATGGTAAGGAGAATAATGCTTTCTCTAACCTTTCTGCCAACATTTAAGTTTTAGGATAAGATTGTATTGTTTCTAATTAAGGCAATCCTTAAAATTTGAAATAAGGGATTTATTTTATATGAAGAAACTTTAATTAATTTATATGGCTAATAAAATTAATATATAAATATATCTAAATATGATTCATATAGCCTTATTTTGAACTTTCATTTTAAGGAATATCTTTTTTTTTAAGTATTATTCATAGAAATCAAATCAAATAATTAGATATTCGAAATGAATAAAAAATTATAATCTTTTGATTCATGATTATAATCCATTTGATAACTTGATTGTCAATAAGAATAAGCAGATTATAGATTATTAATTTATTAAAATAACAACTCGAATTGAGATTATCAATTATTGAGAAATCAGTCATTTCTAAATTTTCTTTATCCCTAGAATGCCTGCAATTGATAGTTTATTTTTGTTAATAGCAATCAAACCTATCCTTTTCTATCCTGGTTTTAGAATTCCAATGACAAAATTGTACTTTGAAATGTCTTAAGTACTACTTTCAAATTCAGAAGAAAGAGCTTCATTTTAGATAGTTTCAATTGAAGTCCTTTTACTCCAAATAGACATTTAACTATTTTAAACACTCTTTTATTGCTTATCCATTTACTTAATTTTATTTATTTTGATGAAGGAGAGAAAATTAAATATTAATAATGAAATTATAATATATCATTCATTAATAATACGTCATGTTATTTTGCATAATCCCACTTTATTAAATATTCAGATTAATATTCAAAAAATTTAAACTATATAAGCATAAGGATTATAGAATAAATTATATTGAAATAAATAAAATAATATTTTCTTATATTATTTAAAACATTAGTAAGATAGACTTTATTCTTTATTTATGATTGTATAAATAATAATATATATATATTCTTCTCAATAGAAAAAGATAATCTCTAATTAGAATTATAATTTTTATAAATTTTATTAACTGAATGTCATCAAAAGATAAAGATAAAAAGAAGAAAACAGCTAAATTGGAAAAAAAAGACACTAAGATTTTAAGTATTCCTGATTTAGATCAATCTCAATTGATAGCTAGAGTAATTAGCAGAGGAGGTGATAAGGAAACTAAAAATATAGGTATCAATTTTATTAGAATCAAAGCTAATAATGAGGATGAGATGCAAACTTTCACATAATCTCATTCTAATGGAGTAGCATAAATGAATGATTTTTAGGGAATTCAAAGTCAATAATAATTCAACACTAATTTTCTAAGAAACAACGATTATAATACTAATAAATTCATGTCAGACTCAACATATGAAGAATATCGTGGACAATTAAATAATAGTCTTTATTATTAATAGTAGACACTATCAATGTAAAACTATGCCCAATAGTATCCCTAACAATATTATCATATGGGAAATTAAGACTAAATTGATTATAGATATGAAAAAATTAGGAATTAGATTAATTTAAGTTTGTTGCCAAAGAGACAAGAAATACTTTATTAAATCTAAAAGGTTAGTACTATTATATGATGAATTAGATAGAAAATAGGATTGATGAAATCAAATATCAAACCTAATAAATTGAAAATATGACTAGAGAAGAGTGTGATTTTATAATTGATAGATTAAGATCAGCAGAAAATTAAAAACTTTAAAGATTATACCAAGATAAAGATGAACTTATAAGGTATGAAATTGAAATTATAAATTTCAAAGTAATATTGAATAAATTGATTCTCTATAATCTTATGCTTTAAATAATTAGGAACAGATTCCTTAAAGTAAGATACTTGAAAACATTGAAAGAATTGCTAATTAAAGAATCAAAACCTAAATTGACATTTATTCAAATGATTTACCTCAAGAATTCATTTAATTAAAATAATCATACTAATAAAATATCATTTAATAATAGTTGATAGAATTTAAGAATGAAGTTATTTGGAAATTAGTGAATGATTCTAAAATATAAATATAGAAAATTTAAGCAGATTTAGAATAATAAGTATACTAAGAATATTAAAAATGGTTAAATAATGAGGAGAAATATAAATAAGAATTAAATAAATATAAATTAAAATGTACATTTTGTGGAGTTAATTTTGATTATAAATAGATTAATACAAATTGTCAATCAAATATTTAAAATGCAAGTAAATTTTTTATTTTAAATAGAGCTTTAATTTGAATGTGAAGAGATTCCTTAAGAATAATATATTGGTACTTATAGACATTTTTTTAGCAAAAGTAAGGAACTTTAAGAATCATAAATGCAAATCTAAAATAAAAAAGTATGATAAATTAATAATCTACAATCATTTATTACAATTTTTAATTCTAATTTCTTTGAAACCTAAAATTACATTTTCATCAAACCCTCCATATATTCTATCTGTTTCTTATTACAGAGTGTTTTAATAAATAGGTAACTAATGTTATTACTGTTAAGATTCATGACTCTATCTAGATACATGATGACCTGTTAAATTCTCTTAGAACTTGATATCATTTGTCCTTCTTGAACTAAAACCATCAGATATAAAATCAGTTTATCGACTAAAATTATAAAGAAATTATATATACTATTATGGACTGAAATATTCCATATCAATTGTCATTTCATCACTTTCTGTGAAATCATCTTATCTTCTGATTATTTTTTAAACTAATAATCTGGAATATGACTACCATGTTTTAAATAAGATTAAAACATTTAGATAATCATGAAGAATGTTAAAATTAGATTTAAATTGTAAATTATTTAGACAAATATTGGTTCTCTTTTGAGTTTTGTTTCTTCTATAATAGAGTAATCTTGTTTGCATTTCTTTATTAAATTATTTAATTTTTTTAATAGATTCTTGAGATCCGTCCTTAAAGATTTCGTCATGATAGCAACATCTAAACAAATGATACAATAGATGATTATACTGAATATATCCATATGGATCACTTATATATATATAATAATAATATAGATACCTTCTAAGATTTAATTTGGATGCTAATTTTGCAGCATCCCAAAGATTATCATCATTTCCTCCACCTAATGGTTAACCAATATCTAGTAAGAATCGACATAAGAATTTATAATGCATGCTTTCACCATTATTATCAGCTGAATATTTACACCAAGTAGTTTTAATTTTATCAATTTATTCTACATAGGTTTGGATCATTGAATTCTATACTTAAAAGAATTCCTCAAATTATTCTATCAAGCCTAGAACAAATAAATTTAATAAAACATAATTTGAGAAAAGCATAAAAGTAATGAAATACAATTAATTGAAATCTGATCCACAATAATCAGTATTTTCTGAACAATATGGATTATGATGCATTGTATCAGTCATTATTGTTCTAAAATCATCTCCTGATGCACACTTAAATAATGCTAATAATGCATATTCAAAATTAGTAAAGTTTATGTATTCATCTATGACAGCTCCTTTTTTAACTTTTCCAAATAATTAACATCCAATCAATGCGTAAATAATCATTGTAATAATTAGTATTGAGATAAGTTTAGCTAAAAAAGGAATTGCAAAACCCATGACTCTAATTAATCTTGATAAATTGCTTAATCCTTAAAAAATGACTAAAAGCCTTAATTATCTTGTCATAAATGCAAGTCGTAATATTTAATAGTTGGATGTATAAACATTTGATTCATAATAATGGATAACCCAATCATATTGAAAATCAGCAATGATATCACATAATGATATAAGAATTAAAAATATATAATATCTTCTCCAATAATTATCAAAGTATCTATTAACACCTAATTACATAAATAGTAAAATTATCCAAATACCATAAAATAGAATTAAAAACCTTTAAATTTAATTAAGATTTCTTATTTTATCTAATTCCATATCATAATGATATTGCAATTAACATATTAAATCTACCAATAATAATAAAAACATAAATTTCTAACTAATAGAATTATTAACTATAAATGATGATAATCTTCTAATAAGTCTTGTTGGTGGAGTTGAAAAACCAGGAGAGTCTTTCAAAATCATTGGACATAATTCAATAAACTCTTTTTAAGACTTAGTTACATTTTACATCTCTATTTTTTATTGATTTACTCTTAATTTAGAAAATAATGTTCCTGTAAAAAAACTTAAAAAGAACATTGAACCTATAAAACAAAATGATATAAAATAAGCATATGTTGATAAATATGATGCAAATGGAGCAGGACCTAAAATACTTTATCTGCTATTTTCTGCCACTTACATTATTTCGCCCCATCCATCAAATGTTGATACTACAAATAATGTTGGTAATGCTATTGTTATATTATCAAAATTATGTTTATAATTAATCCATTTTCTATCATTTTCTATACATTCCTATTAATTAACATTAAATTGCATTTTATCATCACAAAAACCAAATTAACTTTCATATAGTATGATACCAAAAACTCCAAACATTATCCAAACTGAAATTAATGTTAATAATATCTTAAGCATGTCTAATAATGATTATGCCAATGCAGCCCTTATATTATCTAACCATTTAATTCTATACATAAGTTTCATTGGTCTAAAATGTCCTAAAAATAAACACCCATTTATTATTGGATTTTATTTGTATGTATCAATAAAAAATGCAAATAAATAAATTAGATCTATCACTTACCAAGAATAAGTTAAATAACTACCTTTATCCATAAATAATCCTTTAGCTATAATTGATATCATATCCTCTAATAATTTTAATACATTCAAAATTGTTAATATAATATATGGATATTAACTCTTCTAATCTTCATAATCGTGATATGTCCTAACTATCATAAGAAAAATTGAAGAAACCATTACTATATTTGAAAACCATTAAAATCTTTTTGATGTACAAATATTACAACAAATAACTCTAATTTTACTATTTTTACCAAAGAAATACAAAGCAGTTTCGCATTCAATATCTTAATATAACTTTGGATTTGACATTAGTATCTATTTATTTAATTACTCTAATATAATTAAGACTTAATACTTAGAGATCTCTAGAATGATTTAATTATATCAAGTTTGATTTTTGGTTATTCTTTATCTTCATTTTAATCAAATATCTAAATTTAAGAGAAATACTAAGATTTGACCTTTTAATCATATATTGAATCTATTTCTGTATTAAGTGCTTCATCATCTCTATTTGTTGAACCTTAAGATGCCAATATTTATTTTTAATTGTCATCCTAATCATGTTTTTCTTCCAAGTATTTCCCAAAACCATCCAATAAAATTGCCAAAACTAATCCATAAGTTAAATAATTTAATATTAAAACCATTGAAAATGAAAAAATAACAGCTGCAGTTAGATTGAGTTCTGATCCAATAACATAAACTCCATACCAATCATCATTTGTCATAATATTGAATATAGTCATACCAGCTTTTAAAGGATTATCAAATGAATGTAATTATCCTAAGGGTTCATTTTAATCAAATTATCCAGCATAAAGATCCATTCCAATAAGACCATATATAGTAATCATAATGAACATAAAAATTGTTAAATAAATATATTATTTAAATGTTATTGAAGCTATTTTACCTATCAATACAGCCATTTAATTATATTTTAAGCATCTATAAAATAAAATACATTTAGTTCCTCTAATCATTCTCAAATATTATTATGTTAAATTCAAAAAATCACTGAAACTAAATTCAATAAAACTTGCTATCATAATAATTGCTTGAAGTATATTTTCTTTACTAGAAAAGAAACGATGTAAGGGATATGTAAACATTTAAAATCCTATTTCTATTAATAAAAATATAGTTGATATATCTTCAAATTTTGATATAACATGAGAATCAACTATTCCATATAAGGAGAGGAATATAAAATTAATTAGGATAATGAAATCAAAGAAAAATTAAGTAATTTTGTTATCAATAATTATAAGTGTGTATCTTCTTAAAATAAGTAATTTGCCACCAAAAGTAGGCATCCATATTAGATGGTTAAAATTATTTAAACTATTAAAGATCTCATGAAATTACTACATTCTAATAGGATTCAATGAGAGGACATTATTTCCTGACCAATTTTTTGACTTAATGATCTTTTATTCTCTTTCTTTTTAAAAAATCTATAAATATAACTCTTCATTTGAATCAAACACTTATTTTGTTTTTGGTATTTTAGTATTAATTTTCTCTTGTATTTACTCATAATCTATATAAAATCCATGAATATATAGGTATTTTCTTACTCCCCTTAAAATTTCAAATGGTAACTTTCTTTCTACTCTTGTTCTTATATTAATAGTTCCAAAAATATCATTCTATCTTTTTCTAATTTATGGTGATTATGTTCCATGACTGTCTTCCTTAATACTAAATGATCTTTAAATAGTGATCCTTCGAGTACTCTTATGTATTGGATAGCGACTTAGGGAAATATCTGACTATTAACGAGGTATGATTTTAATTTCTTTCTTTGTGAACATAGGTTGATAATAGATTTTGATTTTTTCTTTATGCGCAACTCTATTAAATATATATATTAATATTGTACCTCTTTTTTTATATGAAGACATCTTTCAAACTCTTAAATTTCTAATCAACATGATAATTAACAGAATTTTGGAATTAAGTGAATTTATATTCGCTTAATTTTAAAAGTATTGAAACTTCTATTGGATCATCAGAATACATCTTAATATTTACTTTATTTTATTCTAATTATAAATCTTTAAATTTAGGCAACAGTAATTATTTAATAGAAAAATGTTTAAATTAATTCCAAAAAGATTTCTTTTGACTTTTCTAAAATTAAGTAATAATAATACCTACATTGCTTCGTCTAATATCTTCTTTTATTTATTTGACAATAATCTCAATTAATTATTAAATTTTTCCACTTTATTATCGTCATCAATCAATTCCATTATTGGTCTAGTAGTATTAAGTAATAATTTATGTTTTTTCAAAACAGAATAAAAACCAATATATCTTAAAAACGATAAATCGAAATAAGAAATTACATCTTTCTATAGAAACATCTCTTGTCTCATAAGACTATGATCATTTTTCTATTTTGATAATTTCTCATAATCTTCACATTCTGCTGTTGCCTCGGAATAATGAATTTTTAAAACAGCTATCATTAAATTAATAGAAAAGAAACCACATAAAAAAATAATTCCTAAATAGTATATCCATATTTAAGGATGAAATATTCTCATAGTAAAAAACATTACCCAACTCCAATCATCCATTGTTATAGTTCTTAATATTTAACCATATGAATATATCACATTATTAAATGATGTTGGCATTTTTGGAGTTTCTTCAGAGAATACACAAACCATTCCTTCTTGACAAATATTTTAATAACATTAAACCCAATCTTCTATAGGTTCACCTACCATCGGTTAACATCTATAATTGAATAATCCTTAAAATAAAGATACACCAATTATTGAAAATAAGAGAGATAGTATAAGTAAAATAAAAATAGCCTCAGCCAAAAATATTAATGATTTCTTTAAAGCTATTAACATATATTTGAGTCTTAATAATCCGTCTCCTAAATATAATAATATTGTTATTATTCTTAATGGGGATAGATCAAATGAAATCTTTTTTGGATAAAAATAATGAAGGAATGTAATTAATGTACATAACAAATTAAACATATCTTCTTTACTACATAAAAAATGAATTGTTGGATAAATTCCTCCTGCTGCAATAATTCTTATTCCAATTTCAATTGCAAAACAATAAAAAATAAATTATTTGTATTCCTCATTTGTAACTGGTGGATATGAATTACTTAATGTGAAAAAAGTTAAATTACAAATAATGAGAATACCATTGATAATTTTAAATTAGACACTATCTACAATTCTTTAAAAATACATTGGTATGCATAAGCATGAATAAACAATATATTTTCTTAGTTTTAGAAAATTAAGATGGTCATTGTAATTCTAAGATTTAAATGATATCTATTACATCTAATTCATATTTAAGACGTTCTAAGCCATGAAGTGGTGTGAGTACAACATAATATGAATCTTCAAAAGGATTACGTTCTGCATGTTTCTAATACTTTTTTAATATTCTTGGATCAAGCTCTTCATAAAAATCTTATCTGTCTTCAATAGGTTGCACTTATAAGAAATTCATGAAGCTTCTATTCTGAAAAGATTCTTAATCTCTAGAAAGTAAGTTTTCTTATGAATTCATATCGCTCATTAGGCTTTGATCACCTTAGCACTTTTTGATATTTTTGATGATATGATGTTTCTTACTCTAAGAATGCTGTAGATCAGAAGAGTTATGAGTTAATTATTCAGGTTGTACATGTGAAACCATTAGCCCTTCTTTAAAACTCAAATTAGGTACTGCTATAATTTTTTCTTCCATATTTGATTTTTCGTCAATATTATCGCATTCACTTGATTCTGAAGAGTTGTCTTAACTTTTTTTCGTAGGTTGAAAACTTTTTGAACTCTTTAATATTGTTTATTGACGATGTTATTTTAGACTCTTCATCTCCCTAAAATATCTTGTTGGACTCTTTTTCTTCATTTGATTAGAAATAGTAAATCTTTGACTCTTTTATTTTTTTAATTCTTGTTACTAACCCGAAAACTTTTATGGTGATGAATTATCTTTTACAAGCATGTTATATTATAAAATTAATATAATTTAATCATTATAATTAATGAACAAACTCAATTGTTATATCGCATTACCTTATGATTATTCTAATTAGAATCTCTGAAATATCATAAGGTTAGTTCGATGACATCAGATATAAATTGTTTAAATTATTTGAAATAATTTAATTTTAAGAAAATTAAAATAAATTTCAAGATAAACTAATCTACTGCTTATGAATAATATATTAAAATAGATAAGATTTCAATCTAATTTATTAAATAAGAATTCTTTGATAATGAATTTCTAGAATAATATATTTTTAAAGAAATTAACATAACTCAAATATGAACTTAAATAATCCATAAATAAGTTCTAAACTATTAATAGATTATAAATATTCTCTTTATCAAAGATTTTGTTAAGAACTAGCAAATGATTCTTATAGAATAGTAACTTTTTAATTTTTAAACTTTGAGATGAAATAATAATATAAATAAATGAAATTATGAAAACATAAAATACTTGGCATAAGTGGATTATATAGAAATTAATAATTTTAAAAGATCTTTGAAATATAGATTTTAAGAAATTACATTGTTTTTAGATATACTAAGATAAATTTAAAATAAAATTAGTAATTTAAAAATAATCCATCTTTGAAGATATAATCATTATCCATTTATTAAGATTGAAATATCTAAATCTTAGAAATAATTATTAATGATAGTAAATTTTTGAATTAGTAAATCCTAATTTAATCTGCAAAAATTATATGGTGTGTAGAGAAATTTGATAATGATAATTGTAAATATTAGTTCTTAACATAGCTTCAAATTTATCTTAAAGATATAAGATTATTAAATAATTTTAAAAATTATAAAAATTATAAAGCTGTCTTTCTTAGATAAAAAATAATTTAAATATCATTATTTTTAAGTATAATTGTTTCTGGATAACATTACAAACAATAAACATCGAAAAAGTAAATTTAGTTTTAAAATTATATAACTAATAGAATAAGTAATATTCAATTATTAAGAGGAAATGAACAAATGAAAGAGATTATAAGATACATTATGAAGAATTAAAAGAAAAGGAACATAGATTTAGGATAAAAAATACCTCAATAATTACTACAGATTAATTAGGTTTACTATAAGGATCTATAAAGAATGAAAAACAAGCCCATATAATTTGATGAATTGAATAATCCTTTAGAATAAAACCTTAAAGAAATTTAATGAGTTGATCTTTTTTATAAATTGTATGTGATAGATAGATGTTAGAAAAGACTAATGAGAATTTTAAAGATAAGATTAATTAATAGATAATGTAAGCAAATAGGTTATATTGATAACTGAATTAAGGGAAATAAGTATTTTGAAATTTAAAATTATCACAATTTTATTAATATTTGCATCTATACTAACTAGATATTTCAGATAATCTAATTGCATTAGTTGATTCAAATAGAATCAATGTATTATATAAGATTCTATATAGTTATCAAATAAAATCAAATTATTGGATCATTTGAGATAAAAAATTTAAAGGATTATCACTATCTATAATTTATTTTCTATTGTTGATTTATTATTTTTTGAAAATATTAACTTGTATTTACTATTAAATAATATTTATTGTTCTTCATGGATTAATAGCACTAACCCAGGAATAATAAAAAACGATTAACAATTTCGAAAGAATTGGCTTAAAGAAAGTAGAGCATTATTTAGTAATTTTAATGTATTAAATGATTTTGATTTTGATTAGCCGGCACTCAAATAGTAAAATAAGATTCTTCATCAAAATTAATGAAATAAGAAAAAGAGAATAGAAAAGAATCAATAGATTCATCCTTAAATTCTCGCTCATCTTTCTTGAAATAAAAAAAGTTTATTATTTGCTTTTAAAAGTAGAAAAAAATAAGATAAAGAAATAGAAGGTTATGAAGAGTATAATTTAAATTCATCTGATTATTCCGAAGAAACTATATTAACAATTCAATATGTTTCTTATGAATCAAGAAAAACATCTAAAAAGTTTATAGAGAGTCTTAATGAAAAAACTCAAAATATCAATACCGAATTTGATTAAATGATGAACGAATTAGATCATAAAGAAAAATTGTTGAAAATAGCTAATCTATTAGCATTAGAGTAAGAAGAACCATAAGAAAATGAAATAGCTTACAAGAAGATTATTAAAAGATATGAAAAACAATACCAAAGAAATCCTTTTCAAGATCCTTATTATATATAACTAGTACCACTAAATGGTTTAAGCAGATTAAATTATGAATTGAAGGTATATTTAATTATATTAATAAGAAATACTAAGATAATGTAAAATTTTTGTAGGTTCGCAAATATCTTGTTTTTATTTCTTTAGTATTACCTATCTTAGTCAAAGGAATGATGAATACAAGAATATACAAAATGTTGATGACAATTTTAATATTATTTAATGTTGTCTTATTTATAGTTGTTAAAACTTAGCATAGAGATGACACATTTGAAATAGAATAGGTAGTAACTATACTATTTATAATTGAAATTCTGATGAGAATTTTTGTTTCAGGATTTTTTTTTACAAAAAATGCATTCTTTCGAAATATTTAAGATATTTATGATTTCACATTGATATTTGCAACTACAATCAATCTTTATTATCCAGAGATATTTATAATAGATATTTCACCATTAAGAATGATTACTTTACTTTTTTATTTAGGAGACATATTTGTTGGTTTAGGAGTTATGCTTTTAGCTCTTAAATAATCAATAAAATTTTTATTGGAAGCTTTGATGATTGTTGGACTCTTTTCTTTATTCTTTGCAATATTTGGGGTATTTCTATTTTAAGGATTATTCAATTTCAGATGTGAGTATGATAATGGTGATGAAACAGATGGTTGGATTCAATGTCATTAAAATTAATGTTATGAAGATGGCATGACATGTAAATATACTGAAGAAACTCCAAAAATGCCAACATCATTTAATAATGTGATATATTCATATGGTTAAATATTAAGAACTATAACAATGGATGATTGGAGTTGGGTAATGTTTTTTACTATGAGAATATTTCATCCTTAAATATGGATATATTATTTGTTGATTATATTTGTGGGTGGATTTTTTGGTTTTAATTTGGTTATAGCTGTGTTGAAAACTCATTATTCAGAAGCAGCTGAAGAGAGTGAAAAACATTAAGAAAAAGCTATGATTGAAAAATTAATAAAAGATAACCAAGAATATCCAGAGAGAGAGTTAGTGAATGTATTTGATGTAGCATTCTTAAGATATATTGGGTTTTTTGTAACAATTTAAAAATATAGAGAATCATTTTAAAGAAAATCTGTTCTTAGTTGGAATTTGGAATCAGAAGCTTAGATGAATAAAACAATAATTGAAGCTAGAACATTATCAGCAGCATAGAAAAAATTAAATAATTAGTTTGTAAGAAAATAAATGATATATTATAGAATGTAGAAAATTTAAGTTTTTAAAATAAAATAAGGGAATTTACTATGAAAAATCTTTTATTAACTAAGTTTCGTTAATTGAAATAATAATAACAAAAAATTAATATTAAAAAGTATTCAGATGATCCACTAGAATTAGAAATTTTATAAAAGTTGTAAAATTTATCATATTCATGTTTATAATCATAAGTGAATTATTAAATAGAATAAAAGTATACAAGTTAACATGATATTTTGTTAAAATTTATGTAATTTTATTTTATAAATTAGTGAAATTGATTTAGCATTATAAGAAGAAAAGAAATTCAATCCAGAAAAAATGAGAAAGATGAAATTTAAGCATTAATATCCTGATTGGTAGACTTAAGTAGAAAAGATAAAGAAATAGGTTCAAAGATCTATTGAAATAAAGAGGAATAAATTTCCTTATAGATAAAAGAAAAATAATAAATGGAATTCTACCAAAAAAATTGAAGATGAAAAAGAACAAGAAACTAGTAAAAATTCTTGTGATGATTTTGAAAGATCTCCTGAATAGAAACTTAATTTTTGTTTTGAAAAGAATACATCAATTAAAAAAAAATCAAAGAAATTTTCAAAAATAGTGAATGGTGAAAAGGTTATTTATGTTCAAGGTTATTATATTTCATATTAAGAAATTAGTGATAAAATTAACATAAAAATACCAATTATAAAAAATAATTAAACTAGCAATTAATTTAAATATAGAAAATTAAGGGAAAAAGAAGTTTAAAATGGTAAATTGATTATTTCAAGTAATTGGTCAGGTAAAGATGTATTAGCTTTAAATACAAAGAAATTATAGATGTTTAGTCATATTTTCCTTTAACTCAATAAAAAGGATGTTTTAATTTGGATGAAAGGACTTAAAGGAATTATATTAAATTTTAATAAACATACTAATATTATAATTACAAGTTCAACTAGTTAAACATTTTTTGACTTGATAATTTTCATAAATTTTACATTTTTAGCATTATGGAATATTGTGGATTCTACAACTATTCATTCTGTAGAAAATGTTTCAACAATTATCCTATCATTTGAATTGATATTAAGATTAATATCAATCCCAATAAAAAATTTCACTAATAATCCTAATTATTTGATATAAGCAGCAATTGTTATATTGAATATTATTGAATTAACTATTAAGGATCTATTAATTGGTTTAGGAGAATAAAACTTAAGATTAATAAGAGGTACAAAATGCTTATTATTTTATCGATGTCTTAAATATAATGCTATGGCTGTTAAAATAGGACATATAGCATCAATGACGTTTAAACAATATATTTATTTAACATTTTTAATGTTTTTAGTGATTTTTATGTATGCTTTGGTTGGAATGGAGATGTATGCAGGTAGGTTTGATTAAACAGATTCTTTAGGATAATTACATTCATATGATAACATATTTAAAGCATTCATGACTATATTTAATATAATGACAAATGATGATTGGTATGGAGTTTATGTAATGGGGAGTGATATAAATTATACTTTTGCAGTAATATATTCTTATTCAATGGTTATCATATTGAATTATTTAACATATGGTCTATTTATGGCTATATTACTTGATGGTTTTGGGAAATATCTAAATTAATCAATTGAGAATACTCATCTTTTTAAATCTGAAGAACATGCTTAATTGACTTAGAATTCTAATGAAGAATTAGAATAATAAGTATATTAGACAATCTTAAGTCCTTAAGCATCTTAAACTAATATTATGTTAGAACGAACTTAAACATAAGGAAAATCAAAGGTTGGTCTCATAACTAATTTCTTTAAATCAATAAGTATTAATTATATATAAAATTAACTTAGGATCTTTAAATAAAGAATTACTTAATAAATCACCTAAACTTTATACAGGAATTGAATGTTAAACCTCTCTTTATATTTTTGAAAAAAATAATTATTTAAGAATGATGTGCACTAAATTAGCTACATCGAAAACATATATTTATTTTATGGATTTAGTATTGTACACTTCATTAGTTACATTCATAATGAATACATATTATGATTATGAAGATACTAACAATTTAGTTTGTGATTAAATTCAGTTAATAATTAATATTCAAATGTTTTTAGATATATTAATAAATATTATAGCAAAAGGATTATTTTTAGATAAAGGATCATATTTTGTATCAGTATGGTAAATTTTAGATGTAATTTACATAATTTCACATTTCATTACTTTTAGTAATTCTTCAGATAATTATGCTCCAATTTTTGATGTTTGTTTATATTTAGGGTATTTAAGACCAATGAAATTGTTATTTAGAATAAGTTGGTTAACTTAATTAAGAATTGCATTAGGATACTCTTTAGTAGATATTACAAATGTATTGATTACTATGTTAGCTGTTTGGATTATGTTTGGAGTATATGCTATTATATTGTATGAAGGATAATTTGGATTTTGTGAAGATAAAATGAATTTTAACATTAATTATGAATAATGTATAAAAGAAAATAGAAATTGGGTTAATTACAAACATAATTTTGATAATATAACAGTTGCTATTCCTTCATTATTTGTAACATCAACATTAGATGGATGGGGAGAAATATATTAGATTGCTGAAAACAGTTAATCAGCAAGTATTGGACCATAAGCATTTAATAGTTATGTATACACTTACTTCTTTTTTATAATATTTGTCTTTATAGGTTCAATGTTCTTTTTGAGTTTATTTACAGGAGTATTGTATTCAAATCTAAAAGAAAATTAATAAAAAATAGAAATGACAGATGAGACTTAATCTTAAAAAGAATTCTAAGAGATTGCAACTATCATAATTAAAGATTTTCCAATATTCAGTTCTCCTCCAACAAATGGTATTAGAAAATTAGCATCAGATATTACTAATAATACATATTTATTAACTTGTATGTATTTATTTTTAATATTGGATTTAATAATTTTATTATTATTTGAATCAGATATGAGTGAAGAATATTTTAGATCTGTAAATAATATACATAATGCTTTGACTATTTTATATGTGATTTGGGTGATTTTGTTATTTTTGGCTTTGGGAGCTGGTAGATTTTTTGATAATTATTGGAGAAGATTTTATTTCTTTCTTATAATAGTATCGATAATAGATTTTATAGCAGATTATTGGATAGATTGGATTATGATCTATTATAAATCAACACCATATGATAGTGGTTATCAATTATTAAGATTATTTTTCTCTTTAAGAAGTTTAAGAGTGATTTTGATATTTTAAGGTCTTATCAATTTATAAAGATTAATGAGAGTGATGGTATTTGCTTTGCCTTTTTTAGGAAAGATATTTACAATCTTAATGATAGCAATGCTTATTTTTGCATTGATTGGATGTTAATTATATGGTTAAATTGATAGTGGAGCTGTAATGGATGATCAAATTAATTTTCAAAATGTAGCTTAAGCACTTCTTGCATTGTTTAAATGTGCTTCTGGAGATGATTGGAGAACTATAATGACAGATACTATGCAACATAATCCTTTATGTTTAGAAGATTCAAAATATTGTGGAAGTGTTAATAATTAATATTTTTTCTTTTTGTTCATGCTTTTGTCAAATTACGTATTGTTAAATCTCTTTGTTCTTGGTCTTATTGAATAATTTGAATAATTCTTTTAATTGTAAAATTCATTAATTTAAACTTATGTTGAAAATGTAGATAAGATCAAAACTGTATGGTGTAAATACTCTTCAGAAACTCAAGGCCAAGCTATGAATTATAAGTTTTTATGCAAGTTCTTATTAGATATAGGCAAACCTCTAGGAGGTAGTAAAGAAGAGAATCTTTGGGATGTAGCTAAGTTAGCTTCTTCATTCAAATTAAAATGGTATATATCTTATTAATTTTAGTGATCATTATGGTTATATATAATATAATTAATTGATGTATGAATTATTTAGAAGATGTTTTATCAATGAAGTATTCAGAGAAGGTACTGAATCTTCAATTGTTAAGATTAAGTAATTCAATAAAGAAATGTAGTTGAGATTAATGTACTACAGAAAAAATAGATTATTAGAGAGAACAAATATTAGTCCTAGTAAATAATTAAAAGCTAATTTCAATATTTTACATGATTTTTTGACTGTTTTAATACTTTTTAAAACTTGGGAATCTTATTCAAAATTAGTATTTATTAAAATTGAAAAAGAAGGTATATTTTCAGATAGTGATGAAATCAACATTTAAAATGATAAAGTTAGTAGACAAAAGTATTTTTATATTTATATACCCTAGTTTCAACATTTATGATTATGAGGATGAAATGTCAGATTCTGATAATTTAACTTCAAATCAACAAAGTAGATAATTATCTTAAATGATTAATAATACTATGAATCAAATGTAATATAGCAGTAGTATAAGAAGTAGTCCAAAAAGTTAAATAAAAAACAATTTCAAAAAAAATATTAAAGTCAAGCAAAAAAAGAAATATAATTAAAAAAATAGTTTAAATGAACGAATTCTTGATCCAACAGAATATTTTGGATAAATAAAACATTAAACAACTTTACAAAGTCAAGAAGTTTAAGAATAAGAATAATTGCCTATTTATAGAAACTAATTTGATCTCTCTCTATAAAACGAATATCAATAAGGTACCTTATTAAGTGCAAGAAAAAAATAATGATTAATAAAATACTTTATAAACCTAATTTATGTTAATACATACTAATTATTAAATATTATTAATATTAATATTAATATTTATTAATTTGATAATTTGTTACTTTTTTAATTTTATATTAATATAAGAATACCATCTAACGTCAAAAACAAATTACTTTCTGTAAAAGATTTAATTCAAATTTATGGAATAGTATATTTTTAAGTTTTCTTTTGTAATCTAATTAATATTCTAATTATAATGAACTTCTAATATTTACTTAACACATTTTAAGAAACTTAAAACTTGATTAAAAACAATAATAATAATTTTGAATATTAATTAAAAATTATTTCACTTAATTGCCTAATCTGCTGAAACACAAAAGTTTTGTCTTCTCTTATTTATTACTAAAAACATTCCAATTTAAGTTAAATTAAATTTCCTAATTAAATCTCCTGGATATTGAACATAATATATAAATTTTTTTAAAATATTTAGATTTTATAAAAAGTTCTTTTATTTGACAATTGAAAAATTATCTTTCCTAAAATAATATTTATAAGTCTTAGGACTTTCAAATTCTTAATCATCAATATATGTTTTATTGGATAATTTTTATATTATAAAGTTTATATCATTAAGATATATATCAAATCGTTTATTATTTAATTAATTAATGATTTTTAATCTTTATTCTAAAATCTATAGAGTTTATTAAATAGATCTTTATTCGATTATCTTTTCAAATTCGACATATGTTTAAATTAAAAAATAAGGATATATTTTATTAATCGAAATTAATTTATTAACTAATTATCTAAATTTTTTTTTGATTGGATCTTGATTTTATTCGAAAACAGAAATTATCTTCTTTTTAACTTTTGGTATATGAATATTTATATTTTGAATTGCATTAGTTTTTTTTATATAATGCTTTAATTATTCTTCATCAATATTCAAAATGTTATCAAATCTGTATAATTAAAATAATTAGGGATTATCCTTCTAAATTAATAATGCACATTATTCTAACATTTTTCTATTTTAATTTACACTCTAAACCTTCTTTCTAGATCTTTAATAATGAACTCTTTCTTAAGTTTTAGGATATAAATATTGTTTAATTAAGAATTCTTTATCAGGTATAAATTTAATCAAAGGACATTCAATTAATTTGTGTGAATCTTTTCCACAAGAAAAGCATTTTACATTAAAATATTAATCATCTTTTTCAAATATTAATTTGTCTCTAATAGAACAAAATAATTCATAGTCTTCAGGATGATCTTATAAGATTTTTAAGAAACACTTCCTTTTAAGTAACATAGCCTTGGTAAATCCAACACTCTTTAATGTTTCACAAGACTCAGTTCCTGTGATGAAATTTTTCATTCCAATAGAAGCTCCTTTATTAACAATCCCTAGATTTATTTTTCTTCCTTATTATAAACATATTTATACAGAACCTTCCTCTATATAATACAATAATATATCATTAGATTATTTCAAATCTTACTCTGGAGCTAAGAGAACCTCTTCAACCTCTTTGATTAATTGCTTTTTGAATTATTCAGTAAAAGGTATCCTAAACAAAGTACACTAATCAAAAATATTTTGATGAGCTTCATTTATCAATTATTGCCTTAAGAATTCAGATAAGGAATCAATAATTTCTTTTTCTTCTTCAGATTAAGAAACAACTTTATTTTCCCAATAATATGATAGATACTTCCTTACTTAAACTTATAGGCCAGATGACAAAGAAGTTTTATTCATGTATGAATTAATGATTCTTAATTTTCTTTTTTTTTCTTCTGAAAATGCAGAAATTTCTGTTATGATTGTACCAACTGTGTTAATACTGTAAGGCAATTGTATACTTGATATCATAATTAAAATAACTGAGACAATTTTTTCAATATTTGACTAAGGTGTTACATCCCCATATCCAACTGTAAATATTGTAACAGCTGTATAATAGAAGGCTTGAAGATATTAAGTATTCCAAGTCTATTCAAGCATATTAGTTGAGACTAACCAACTCTTACCTTCATAATTATCTACACTATATCTACCAACCTAAAATCATTTTTGAATAGTATTACCCAAAACCAAAAACAAGAAAATAAATGAATAACATAGAATAAAAATGCTATCAATTTTATTAAAGCCAATATAGTAGAAGTTTATTTTGATAAATTCAAGCCTTCTTCATAATTAGTAGCATAATTAATTATTGTCTTATGGTGTACTAAAAATATGAGTAAACCTATATTAAATATATTATTTGAAATATCTAAAGATATATCTGTAAATGCTGATATAATAAAATAAACAAGTAATTAAAATACTGATAGCCATTACAATCCATATGTATTATACAAACTATTTTTAATTATATGAACTCTTGATTCAACTGCCTCTCCATTTTAAAAATATATAGTATTTAAACTTAATAATAAATCAAAAACTAATATAAGTATAAACATTATTGAAATGTACTACAAATCATGGAATATAAATTATTGGTTAACCCATGCCAAATCTATAGGAATTATGTATAAAAAGTATAAACGAGCAGTCACAGCAATAATATCCCAAATTACCTTAATGTATTAGCCAGGATGAATAAGAGGTAACTTTTCTAATTAAATTATTATTGATTTTTTGATATTTTAAAAAAACTTCAGTTATTATTAATTTAAGTGATGTAGTGTAGAAGATTTTCTTTTAGCAAATATCTCTTCAGATGCCCCTTAATCGCCAATTAATGATATATGAAAGTTAGTTAATTTTTTTATTTTTCGAATGTGGTCCAGCATATTATCAATAAACTTTCTTATGTAATGATTTTTCTTTTCATAATTTAATTATTTTTTGTCATTAGTTGGTAAACACCAAAAATCAGCTTAAAACGGAGAAGATCGATACTACATTAATTTGCTACTTTGAATTTTACTACTTAGTAAATTAGACTCATTTTGTTCTGACAGCAATTTCGCTTCAAATGCAAAAGGAAGTGGCAATCTTTGTTTCATAATTTTAAAATATTTATAATATATAATTAATTTAATTTCTTAAATTATATGATGATTAACAGAAATATTCATTATATTATAATTTTTTATAATATTTCATCTCTTTTCATTTGTCGACTTTCCAATCTTGGATTTGCTTTTCCCTTGCCTTTTAAGTTTTTTAACATCAACCACTAGTCCAATTTTTGAAGATATAGATAAAGGATATTTATATCTCAATATATATTAATGAGGGAAACACATAAACTTAGATAATTTTTCTCTAATCTTTTAGAAGAATATCAATTCATTAGGTGAACACTTTTCATTAATCAAATCTTATTTACAGAGTTATTAGTTTAAATTATCTTAAGGTTTATACTTCTTACATTCTCTTATTTAATCAAATTAATCTTCAACTTATTATTATGTTAGTAGTTATTAAAACATTTATTCTGCAAAAAACATATCATCCAAAATTGATTTTGGAACTAATTCAATTTATTCATTTATCAATGCTTTTCTTAATTGCAATTCCTTATTCTAATTATCTATAGATAATGAACTATTTTTTCTAATTTTTGTTACTTTAGACCAAAACTTAGCAGCTGTTATTACATTATATCCTAAACGAAATTGTTTTTAAGGAATAATTTTATGTCTAACAGCTCTTGCACTAAGATGATTTTAATTCTTTTAAACTTTTTTTTATTTAGGTGATTCAGGTTATTAAGGTAGAAGGGAAATAGAGTTTTAAATAAAACTATTACCTTAAGAACCTATAATTTGAATCTATATAGGTTAATGATTTTAATTTTAATTTTAATTCTAATTTTGATTTATCACTTAAGGTTCTTCAACTGCTGTAAATATTTATTCATCTTAAACTTCATAGATATTGCAAAAAGTAGGATCATTCGTAACTTAATTATACATTTTGTTAGCTTGCATTGCTACTAATCTTTAAGTTTTAATAGTTGGTTTTGTTCTTGTTTTTGATCTTTTTATATGTTTTCTTTATTAAAATTATGAAAAAGCACTTCTTTTAATAATAACTTCTTTATCTGGAACAAAATGTACAATAGGACAATCAACAGTTAAATGTTTATAAGAATGACAAGATTAACATTAAATTTTTAACATTGACATTTCTTTGTTTATATTGAAATCATCAACAAGTTCTTTATATTTTTCATAATCTTAAGGGAAATCTTTCATTGTAGCTAAAAAGTCTTTTCTAGATAAAATAAGTAATTTAGTAAATTCTACAGTTTTGAATTTTTCTTTAAAATCTTATCCAGTAAGAAATGCAATTTCATTAAAACATTTTCCTTATTCATAATTTGTAATATTTGAAGCAATAATATTTTAAGTATTAGGATCTTCAATTAATGATTCAACCTTTCCCATTTCAATAAAACATAAACATTAAAATTCACTTTTTTCAATTTTTTTAACTCTTTTGAAAAACTTTTGAAATTCTATAATACTTTCTGGTTATAAATATTGTGAACTAATCTTTTCCACTAATTTCTTTTAGAATTTATCAGAAAAATTCTCTTTAATAAATTAACATTAATTTAGAATCCTAGAATTTGCCTCATATGTTAATTTTTCTTTTAAAGTTTAACTCAATTAATCTATTATTGTTTATTCAGCCTAAGTCTCTTCATCTTATTATTTGTTCCAATAATAACTTAAATATTGTCTTACTTAAAATTACAGTTTTGAATTTATTTATTTTTTTTCCATAAAATTATTTATAATACTAAGTTTTTTTTATTTAATCTCCTTAAAAGAAGTTATTTTCTCAAGAACAGCACCCACAGTACTTACACTGTAAGATAATTAAATACTACTGACCATCATAAAGATAATTGCCAGAATATATTCAGGTTCCGTTTTTGGTGTTATATCTCCATACCCAACTGTGAACATTGTAACGGTAGAAAAGTAAATGGCTCTCAAATATTAGGTACCAAAGTTAGCTGTTACTACTTCTTAACCAACTAGCCAGCCCTCATTTAAATAAGTTGAACCATAATATCCGACCTTTTTATATTAATAAATTATAAATACCCAAAACCATAAACAACCAAATATATGAATAACATAACAAACCAAACATAGCAATTTTACGAGTTCTACAATGGAACTGCCATATTCTGAAAGATTTAAAGCATCCTCCAATTGTTCTCGTATTTTCATTATATTTCTGTATTACACTAAAGAAAATAATAAGAGTAAATAATATGTGTCTTTTGAAATGTCAACCTATTAATCATAACCAACCTGGAAGATTAAGAAGATAATCAAAACCACAGTTGATGCTAATTCAATTCCATATGATTTTGTTAGATTATGTAAAAACACTTTTTTTCTATCAACCATTATTTGTCCATCTTCATAATAACTACAAGCAAAACCAAAAAAGAAATCTATAATAATTAATCCTAAAGATATTAATGTTGGTATGAATGCATAACCAAACAATACTTATTCTTTAGTCCAAGCTAAATCAACTGGTACTATACACATAAAATAAAAGCGAGGTAATACTAAAATACAATCCCATCTCACTTTTAGTTTATCATCTGGATAAACTAATGGTAACATATTTAAGCACTTTTCAAATTATAATGAAAGTTTATTCCACCATTCTTCATTTTTCTTTAGACTTCTAGTGTTCTATCTCATTGTTTATTAAATTGTCTAAGAAATTGGTTTCAACGACAAAGCATTTTATCTTAATATTTTGAGATTGAAATAAGAAGCGTTATCATTTATTAAGTTAAAATGAATTCTTGAAAACTTTGTCAAGTACTTTCTTTTTTTCATTATTGAATGAATAAAATGTCTTATATGAAAGTATTAGATCAATGATGACCCAGCTTTTTCCTTTGAAGCCATACTATTATTTTATTATATATATGGTTACGTGTCATGAAGTTTGATTAGGTCCTTGTTTGCTGAATTTATGAAGTAATTTTCGTTTTGTAAAATTGGACTTTATAATGCTGCTTTTGCTTAAGATGATTAATTGAATTAAAGCAATATTGATTCTTCAGCTGGCTACTCTGTACAAAGAACAGGTTGAAGATATTGCATTATTCTTTAAAAAAATGAATGATTAATAAAGATCAAAAATTTGCAGTTTTTAATAAGATTTGTTTGCAGTATATATATATATATATTAATTAAATACTAAAATTAACATAATTATTTCTTTTACGATCCACTATAATTTTTTGTATTTTAATAAAATCCTTTAATATCAATCAATTAAATTAAAAAATTATATATAAGCAAATGTGAGTTTTAACAAACATTAAATAACTCAACCTCATTTTTATAATTAATTGTGTGATCTATTACTTTTTAACACTAATTTTCTTGTTGACTATTAAGTAGTATATGCTCTTTAATTCATTTTGCTTGTTCTTGGAGTAAAATGAGATTTAATCTTGTAAAATTCTTTATTTCTAGCAGTTTCAGTTTTCTTATTATATTTATTTTTATTACTTATTTTAAAGAATTTATTTAATCGTAATCAACATTGGTTGCATTTCCACTTCTAGTAATGGAATCAATTCTATTTGTTATTATTCTTTCTAATTTTTCTTCAAAATCTCCTATTTTTGTGTCTTTTTGATTTTTATTCTTTCGATATTTATTATTTAATTTTAAAAGATGTAATGAATTTCTCTTCATTTTCTTTAATTTTTCATCATCAAAAACATATTATGTTTTATTAAATTCCATAGCAAGATTCTTAACATCATTAATATGTTAAAATGATTTTATTGATATACCTTAATCCTTATTACCTTCAGATTAAGTTAATTTAGCTATTATTTCTCCTTCATTTTATAATTTTATAAATTTCTTTTATAAGTTATCAGTTTCAAGTTTTTTATTTGCTCTAACAAAAAAGTCTTCATTTCTTTTTGTTTTTTCTTAAACTGTTACTGGAAATTGTTTTTCAAATCCCAATAAATCATTGTCATAATGTTTCTTGAATCTTTAATATATTTTTTTAATTATTACACATCATATAATTAAATGAATCGTTGACCTTTAAATTTCAAATAATTTACAGGAGTATTTCTATACTCTTCTTATTTAACTCTAACATCCTAAACCTTTTTCTTTAATTCCTTTAAATTATTATATTTCATATTAAGTTATCCATCTATCTCTTTCATAAACTTATTAACAACTTCAACTTAATGTTGTTATTCTTAAACTATTTTTACTTTATTAGACTAAAAGAACTTTTAAAATGCTCTATCTTCCTCTGTTTTTGGTCTCTCGTAATTTTTACCTAAATCATACTTGATCTCCTCTGGAAAAATCCATCCTCTACTAGTAGTAGCATTTCTAATCAATCTAAACTTAGGAGGACCTTCTAATTTTTTGGTAGTATCAAATCGACATATTCTTTTTTTACAAAATTTTAATGCTTCCTCTCTTGGACAACTCTAATATTAAATTTATGATACGTTATCTAACAATTTTAAGAAAACCAAAGCACGTCTAGTATCTGCTTTATTTTCAAAAGTTCTGAATTTAGCACACTTGTGAACATTTAACTCGTACATTTATTATTTTTATATTAATTATTAATAATAAATTATAATAACATTAAAATTTTAATTATATTATGAAAAAAATCTTCATAATTAACATAAAAATATATATATATATATGTATAATTACTTAAGATAGAATATTTACTAAAATAATTAAGAATAATTTATGTGTAAACTTAAGATATTACATTCATATTTCATTTTTTTAATATGCTATTTATAAGATTTACATTAAACATTATACTTTATGAATAATTAATAATAATATATATTATTCATAAAATCTAGTAAATAAATGTTTATTTCACTATACTTATTTTATTATTTTACTTCAAATATAATCTGATGATAGTTTGAAGCTTCATCTCTAAAACAGTTCACAATCAAGATTGAGAGATATGATTAAGGTGTTCCTAAATTATCTAATTACATCAATGAATTCTTTATTAATTCTAAAAATTATCAGTATCAAGATATGAAATTATCTATTATTTAAATTCACCCTTAATTGGAAGCTATCTCTATATAATTTAATCACTTTTTAATAAATTTTCTGATCATTTTTGCAAGCAGCGAGATTGCATTATATGTATCTAGATAATCATTAAGAAATTCTTATATTATATTATTTGTATTATTTTTAAGATTTCAATTATTAATTATCATTTTAAGAAAAATATTTTATATCACATGAATCATTTCAAAATGGATATATCATTTCCTATTTCAAATATTTGGTAAATAGTAATATTTAACAAATAATTTGTAAAATAATTTAAAAAAATGAAATTATTAAAATTCCTGATTTAAACAAAAATCAAATTAGTTAATAAATGATAAATATTATACTTTAAAAAGTGTTTAATAAATGAATTAAGAGGATCCTATTACTTTAAACATTTAAATAGGTAAATACATTTAATTATTTATTAATGAGAAGATCTCATTTTATGTTTAATCTATAGAATAATGTAAAATTTTTCCATCAATTATTAATTTGTATTATAAAATACTTTTGTAAACAATGATAATTTATTTTAATAATTATTAGATCTTTATTAAAAATAGGAGAGATAAAATACTCTTTTTAGTATTATTATTTTAAAATAAGTTGAAATATCTTAATTATTTTACTACCGCAATAGCTTAAAATAATTTTAGAATTTGATAGTATATTCAATTTTGAAACAATTTAAAATTTCATAATATTCCTAATTTTCACAAAATAATTAAATTGTATAAAACTTAAATGGAGATAGCTATTCTAAAGAATTATCTTAAGTTTATAACTACTTCTAATGTTTATCTGATAGATTAAAATATACAATCTTTTTATGTATTTTAATATGATGAAAAATATAAAATTATTGATAAACTTATTGCTAAATTACAATAGAAAACATTATTAATATCATTTTGCTTTTTAATGACCAGATTCATTTAAATGTTTAAATAATTTAGTTTTAGATTAGAAAACCTCTTAGCAAACATTGCATTTGAACTTTTCTTACTCATTTTATTTTTCTTTTTCTTTTTTTTTTAATTTTTTTAATTTAGCTTTATTGAGTTGTTTTGGTTCATTAGCAACTTCATCAACATCTTTTTTAGTATCTTAAATAACATTTTTTTCATCATCAGATTCACTTTATTAGATTAAAAATTTAGAATCTGATTATTATTTTTCACTATTTTATTATTGAATAATTATAGGTTATTTAATATCCTATTATTAATTTATTGGATTATTTTTCTTATTTTTTAGTAATTATGTAAAATGATCATCATCATCACTATTTACATATTCATTTTCTTCATTTTTTGTTTCTTTTTATAATTCATCACTACTACTATTTTTTTCTTCTTTTTGGTCTTATTATTATTGTTATTATTAAGACTTTTTCTTTTTATTTTTAATCTTTTTCTTTTCCTTTTGTTTTGTTTATTATTCAATTAATTTTTATTATTTTTATTATTCTCTTTCTAATTCTTTATTTATTTATTCTTATATTTATTTTTAGGTTTCTTCTAAATCTTAAGAACTCACACTATTAACACCATTTTTTTTTAATAATTCTTCTTATTCTCTTTTATCAACAGTAATCTAAGAAATTATATCTTTTAAATTAGATTTATGAATCTTAGAATTTTAATGATTCTTAAATTATGATTCTGATTTAAATTCTTTATCACAAATCTCACAAAAGAAAACATCTGAAGATTTTTCTTATTTTTCTGTAATAACTTAAAATTGTTATCTTTCTTTAAAATACTCTTCATTTTATTTAAACCTTTCTTATTCTTCAAGTCTAGCCTATTTTAATATTTCTTGCATATGAATTTTTTCTTATTCTTTAAATTTTTTCTTTTGTTATTCCTTAATTATTTATTCTTTTTTTAATTGTTCCAAATATTCTTTATATCTAGGATCTTTATTTTTTACTGTTTCTACTAATTTTTTAATTGTTTTAAGATATTTTTTCTTCTCTTCCTTTCTTTCAACTTTGTTATCTTTAATTATTGCCCTTTTTACCCATCTATTAGGAGCATCCTTTGGGTTATATTTGTCTGCATATGCAAATTATTTATAAGTGGTAAAATTCTCCCATTTTACATAGAATTTGAGTACTTAATCAATTGGTGTATTTGAAGTACCAAAACCTGGAAGTTTTTCAAATTCAGTATTCGAGTCTTCTTCTTCTGAATCCAATTATTTATTATTAAAAGCTGATTCTTCCTCAAATTTTATTTTTTCAAAGGCTTCTCTATAAAAGGCATAAAATCCTAAAATATCAATATTAATATCAAACCTTATTGATCATCTCCAAAACCAAAATAATGAGGAGAGAAATAATGCCATATGTTAAAACCAAATCCTTCCATAGTTTCTAAATCTGCCTTGTCAAGATCAGGATTCAAGATTTATTATTTGTGATTGTCATACCATGTTCTTTCATTAGGATCAGAAAGAACTTAGTAAGCTTCCTGGATTTCTTAAAACACTTCTTTTGCATCATCTGCTTAGTTCTTGTCTGGATGAAACTTCAATGCCATATTCCTATATGCCTTTTTGATTTAGTCCTGATCGCAATTCTACTCCAATCCAAGAATTTCATAATAATCTCTCTTTAATTACATATTTCTTTAATATAAATATTTATCACAATTTTAAGCTAATTATATTTATATATTCTAATTCTGTAAAAAAAATAATTTGGATAGATTTGTTTATTAAAATTTGATAACTTTTAAATTTCTAACTATTTTATGGATAGAGAGGTTATATAATCAATTTTATTACTTTCTAAACTTATATATGTTTATATTTTATTATTATTTTGATTGATAAATATTTCTGTAAGTCAAAAGTAAAGTAATATTAAGGACACTCCTAAATCAGTAGTGCTATAATAAACCCTCTAAGATAATACTAATACATAAATTGATATTTAATCTGTAAATAATAGGATAATTTTAAAATATGAATTAAAATGCCAAAGAATTGATTTGTAACAAAATTTACAAATAAAAAAGAACTATTAGACAATATGAAGGTAAAATTGAATTAAAATTTAAGTTAGTTTTATTTGAGCCACTCCAAAAAAATAAGTAAAAACATTAAGGAAAGTAAAAAAATAAAGGTATCACAAAAAAGGAAAAGGAGAATAAATTAGCAGAATTTGAATAAATAATTGCATTATTAAAATTTTTTATATGATTCTGTAAGCTATTAATAAAATATTTAAATAAATAACTAAAAGAATGGGAATTAAAAGTTCAATTATAAAAAAAAAGATTAAAATGTTTTGGCAAACTTAAAGATATGTATTATGAATAATATTACTTCTTTATATGAAGCAACTTTAAGTACAAAGTTGCAAAATAGAAAGAATGAAAAATAGTCTCAAAAAGAAGTCATAATATTTCTAATATTTACAATCATAAAATTAGAATGGGAATAATATATTGGAATATAAAGTTATATTCTATTTTCCACAGTCTTAATGATAGTCTAATTTCAAATAATGAGTAATTTATTAATAAACCAATCCTTTTTATAATATTTAATGCCAATGATTGAAATCAATGATTTTGATGTAAAATTTGATATTAATTTTAAGTATTACACTAATTGAGTTATAATTTGAAAATAATTTTGATTATCTTGAACTATAATAATATATATCAGCTAATTGTTTAATTTCTGTATCTTAAATTCAAATAACATATGGATTATCAAATTCTTTTGTGATTTATCATATAGTAAAGGGTTTTAAAATTACAAATTAATAATTAGTACTTATTAGTCATAATAATAAAATAAATTATTAATTTATATATGGAAAGAGTAAAACAATTTAGATGTTTAGATAGCTTAAAATTAAAAAATCTGCTGATATGTTTTAATAGTATGATAATCTTTGCATAAATTATTGAAAATTTAATTTAAAGCATTGATCCATTTATAATGATTTGCCTGATTTTTTTGTTGGTAATGATAATTTATTAAGCATTATCCTTTTACTTTGATACAATGAGAACATAGCTAATTATATATTGTTAATATTTTATACTTACTTTTTTTTCTGTAGAATTACAAATTGATACCTAATTTTTAATTTTCTAATAATTGGCAATATTCGATACTGTTTTTTTCAATAGAAATGAAAAAAAAAAAATAGTTAAATATATATTATTATTGGGAGCAATAGTCATTAATACTTATGTATTCCTTAGAATGGGATTTCATTATTTATAAATTACTGATTTAATAAAAGCAATATGTTCATCGATCTTACTGAAATTATAATTGTAACACTTCAGAAAAGAACATGAAAAGGAATGTGAATAATTAAAGGATGCCTAAAAATTAAATAATTAAGAAATGGAACCATCAGTACCTAGAAGCATCAACTTTGATTATGAACCATAAGATGCTTAGAAGCTTTTTAGGACTTTTGATGTATTACCTGAAGGAATAATAATACTTGAAAAAAATATAAAGGATGATTTTACAATTAAATATTCAAATTCTGCAGCTAAATACCTAATAGATTCTGATGATCATGATTAAATGTTATAAGATCTTTTTGATCTCAAAAGTGTTTCTCCAAAACAGAAAAGTGAAGAACATCTCTATAAATATTCATTTAGCATTTAATCTTAATAAAGTATGAGAAAAAGTAGTTTTAAAATAATACCTAAATAATAACCATATGTTAAATCAGCCTTTAAATTATCTTAATAATTTATTTTAGAGAATTAATCAAGCTCTTAAAAATAAGAATTCCTATTATAACAACCTTAATAAAATCATGATTTTTGTTTATAATTTCCTTAAGTTTAAATAGTATTTCCAACTACTTAAACAAAAAATGAAAATATGAATCATTCCAATTCTCCTTCAATTCATTTTGCAACTTCTCATAAAAAATCTTTAGAAGATATAGATTCCTTTCATTATTTATTAGTATAAATTTGGTTATAATTACATACATTAGTTAAAGAGAAAGTATTGAATTATTAAAATTAACCTCTCTATTATATCCATGAAAGTAATGCATTTGTAACTAACATTAAAAAATCATAAAAAAAATAATGTTTGGATCTAAAAGTTTTTAGTGCTTTACATTACAATAAACCTTTATTAGTCATAATCCTTAGAGATGTTAATCATAAAGATTATATTAAAATATTAAAAGATTACAATTCATAAAAATCAAAGACTTTATCTTTTGTAAGTCATGAATTTAGAACTCCCTTAACATGTATAATATAAATGCTTGAAGAAGTTATTGAAAATAAAGCCAGTTTGAATTTAAGTGAATAATAACTTATTTAATCAGCATTAGATAACTCAAAATATATTCTTAATCTTTCAAATGATTTATTAGATTTAGCATAAATTAGAGCTGGCAAATTTAAGATTCGAAATGCAATATTTGATTTAAAGTCTCTATTAAGAGATTGTCTTAATATGTTTGAAATTTAAGCTATGAAAAAGAATATTTAATTAAATTATTATTATGATAAATCATTACCAACAGAAATTTGGAGTGATTTAAATAGAATAAGACAAATAACAGTAAATTTAATAGGGAATGCTTTAAAATTTACTTTGGAAGGTTCAATAACATTGAGAGCCTATTTAGATGGACCTAATGAAATTTGTATAGAAGTTAAAGATACAGGAGTTGGTATGAGAGAAGAAGACTAACCTAAATTATTCAAAGCATTTGCTAAGATTGAAAATAAAGAAACTAGTTAAATGAATGCTTAAGGTGTAGGATTAGGTTTATTAATAAGTAATTCAATAGCTACGTAATTAAATTCTGAATAAAGAGGTTTAGGATTTAGATCAGTATATTAAGAAGGAACAACATTTTGTTTTTTAGTAACTAATAGTAAATCAAATTATTCAGATGAAATAGAAAATTATGAAGATTCGAAAAAAGAAATAGATGTAGATTTAGAGACAAAATTAAATGATTTTAGAAGATAATCAATGAATGAAAAAAAGTTTATATTATAAAAGAATTTTTGTTCTTGTCCATAAATATTATTGGTAGAAGATAATCATTTTAATGTTGATTCATTTTTACTTAAATTTAATAGAACTTTTTAATCTTTAATAAAAATAGATTATACAATCTCTGGATAATTGGCTGAATAAAAAGTATAATAAAGATTTTCAAAATAATTACATATTTGTCATCCTTATAAACTTATATTTATGGATGTAGAATTACCAATCTAAAATGGAATAGTGACATCTAAAAATATTAAGAATTTTTACAAAACAATGAATATTCCAATAACAATTGTTGGATGTAGTGGATATGCTGAAGAAAAAGAAAAAAGAGAATGTTTATAATATATGGATGATTATATTGTAAAACCAGCCACTAAATCTGATCTAGAAAGAATATTGAATACTTACTTTTTTAAATGACTCTTTGTTTTATATTTATTTAATTATATATATAAATTTCCCGCTCTAAAATGCTTCAATAGTTATGGACTGAATCAACTAAACCAAAATCTCTTGATTCATTAGATTATCATTCAGAAATTAGTGAAATCCTTAGAAAACTTGCCAAAAATTCTGATTTCCCTCATTTATTGTTTTATGGTCCAAATGGAGCTGGAAAGAAAACAAGAGTTCTTGCATTTCTTAAAGAAGTCTATGGATCAGGTGTTTACACAGTAACTGAAGAAGAAAAAGAATATAAAATAAATGAAACCTCTAATACAACTACTTCATGCACTGTATTATCATCCAAATTTCATATTGATGTTGCACCATCAGATGCTGATCATCATGATAAAGTCATCATATAAAAATTAATTAAAGAAGTAGCAAGTTCACATTAAGTAAATAGTAAATAAACTAAAGATTTCAAAGTAAATATTAATATTATATTAGGTTGTAATTATTAATGAAGTTGACAATCTTACAAAAGAGGCTTAAGCATCTTTAAGAAGAACTATGGAAAAGTATATAGAAAGATGCAGAATTATTTTGATTTGTGAATCTTTAGCTAAAATCATTAATCCAATTAGAAGTAGATGTCTTTTAATTAGAATACCTGCTCCTAATCAAACTTAAGTTGCTCAAATCTTAGATAAGATAAGCACATAATATAATTGCAAAATAAGTCAATAATTAATAAATAAAATTGCTATTGCAAGTAATGGAAATCTTAGAGAAGCTATTTTATATTTATAATCTACTAGAGTTAATAATACATGCATTAAAGATGATCAAAATATTGGAGCTCAAGAATGGAAAATACATATTTAATAGAATATTGTCATACCAATAATCAAAAATTAATTAGTTGAAACTATGAAAGAAATCAGAGAAAAGTTTTATTAATTATTGGTTAATTGTATACCTGTTGATAGAATTATGTTTGAAATGCTTTAAGGAGTATTAAATTAATATAAAGATCATGCAAATAAGACTATTCTTTATGAACTCATTAAATCAACAGCAAAATGTGAAAATAGAGCAAGATAAGGATCGAAAGGTATTGTTCATCTAGAAGCATTAGCAGCTGAATATATGACCATTATAAAATAGTTTGCATGATTATTATTGTTATTATTATATATATATATATACAAATTCTAATGAATTCAAAAGAAATACTTGCTGATTTCTGAAATCTTTTATTTTATAATCTAGTTTTCAAACTTTTATTCTGGTAGAACCAAAAGAATAAATTTTAATTAATCTAATTCTTTAACACTCTATCTAATTCTTATGAAATCAATAATATTATAAACTATAATTAAACTATTATAAATATATAATTATTATACCTTATACCAAATCCAAAACTATAATAATTCATATAAGAGAGTAGAATCTATCCAGCATATGAATTTCCATCATTAAACTAAGCAAAAAGATTATACATAGTAAATTAAATATCTTAAATGTATTAAACAAATATATTTTTAAATACCTACTCTTAAACTAATAATTGAAGTTCATCTACATAAGGAGAATATTGTAATGTCTCTTTTTCTATTGTAAATTCTGAAACTGAAAATTTGTATATTTATGCAACAAATCCTGTGATTCCCCCTGATAAAATAGAAGCATATGATTCTGAATCATAATAACGTTATGTTGATAATTTATCTGGATAACAAAAAAGATATTAATAAGAAGGACATAAATCAGAATTTAAAGTATGTTGAATAATT